ACATATCATAAAACCCTAACCAAGCTGTTTGTTGACCTTGCAGCTCGTCTCTTTCGAATATCCGTTTCCAATTTCCAATTAACAAAGGGGAGATTTATAGGACATACACGAACACATACTTCACAAACAATGCATTTATCAAATTCAAAATGGATTCGACCGTGGAAATAACGAATCTCCATGGTGGTATGATATTGTCCACTTTGAGCATGAACTCTCATGCCTTTACTTTGGGCTTTCCCAAAAGGTCTCATTCCAATGAAGATAGTATTCATCCTCCTTTTTAGGCTTTTCCAATAGGACTCATTCCAATAAAGATGGGATTTCTCATTTATAAATTCATGATTATTCCTTAAATTAGCCAATGTGGGACTCACTCCTAATAATTCTCAACATGCTTCGACGCGATTTTTTTTTTTTTTTTGTAAGGGTTCAATTAAAATATATACTCATCTTAACTATCAACTCAGTTAAAAACATGATTAAGAAAGCAATTTGGATACTTAAACTTTTGTGAAAGTAACATTATGTAATAGTTTAATTGAAAATTTTATTTAAAATCAAGATGCAATTTTTATTATGTAACCACTAAAGTAAGGTTGATTCAGAGATTTTAATCGTATAAACATGTTGATATGGATGGAAATTTTAAAAAAATTATGAAAATCATGTTGTCTCAGGCAACAATTTTCTGCGCAAAATTATTTTTATGCATATACTAGTGTTTAGTAGCTTACTAACCTACTTTCATGAGAGTATACATTCGCAATCACCTCCTTTCATTAGACTATACATTCGCAATCATAGTACGAACATTTTTTAATCTAAACATGATATGAACCATTTAGACATCATATATAATTCATATCCATGCACAGTAAATTATAATATAGCAACATCATCATGGGACCTATCTTCTTGTAAAAACATTATGGTCTTGAGCTTTTCTTTCTAGTTCGAGTAAGGTTGAATGTGCAGTACTTCTTTACACACGGTTCATGCATGCGTACATAAACCCATTAGAAGAGCTCGTATACGTATCCCCTTAGGCCCAACTGGTTGGGCTAGCACATGTTCACATTGTTGAACACCATAGAGAGAAAGGAGCCCGCATAATATCATGACAAAAATAAATATCATGAGGTAAGCATTTGCACTAATCATAAATAGAAGTATCCCGGTACATGTGACAGACAAATTGTATAAAGTCCCATAATATCAAAATATAGTATATACTTATAATGCAAGTCATACCTCCATTATTTTCTTGACATAGTGTTTCTACGAGACATACACATATAATACTTGTTGTATCTTTCATGATTAACATAAATGACTTTCTAAAATCTCATAGGCATTGAGCGAACATATTAATATAGTTTAAATGGTGTGACATATGGAGGTTCATGCATAAACAACATCGATAACATAACATAGTTCCATTACATAACATAATCATATTGTAGTATAATTGATAACATAACGTAGTAACACAACATAACATATACCACAACATAAACATAACATAATATACGTCAAAAATTCATAAAACACGAGACATGCAGGGTCATGGGGCACACGTCATTCATATAGCAAACAAGTCATCCAACCAGGCCATTCATAAAACTCAGTAAGTCAAGGGACCTTATTTTTATATTGAGTCGAACTCCACATGTGAGATAACCTTCCTTTTTCTTCTTCTATTTTAATGTGACATGAATTGCCACTCGAGTTTAACTTGTGGTGATTTGAACAACATTTTTGTAATATCTTTCTTGCAATTCACACCCCATAATTGAAATTTCTAGATTCATATCATCACTTTGATGTCTTAGAACAGAAAGAGCAAAGTCTTGAGGAGCAAAGCCTTGTAAATGAAAGAGTGGAGGAACCTGAGTCAATCGCCAAGAATAGACCATGAAGGGTAATTCGAAAACCTGCAAGGTTTGATGATACGATAGCATATGCTTTCTCTTTGATTGATGGAGTTCCTAACAGTTACAAAGATGCTATTCAGAGCCCGGATAGCTTACACTGGCAAGAGGCTGTGAATCAGGAGATAGCATCATTGGAGATAAATCAAACTTGGGATTTGGTACAACTTCCAAAAGGTAAGAAGGAAATTGGTTGTAAATGGGTTTTTGCAAAAAAGGAAGACCCTTTTGGTATATGTTATAAGGCTCGACTTGTGGCTAAAGGCTACGCACAAAAAGAAGGTATTGATTACAATGAAATTTTCTCACCTGTGGTAAAACATTCTTCGATTCGAATTTTGTTGGCTTTGGTTGCTCAATTTAATCTTGAGCTTGCACAACTCGATGTAAAAACTACCTTTTTGCATGGAGATTTGGAAGAAGAAATATATATGGCGCAACCAGTTGGTTTCCGAGTAGTTGGACAGCAACATTTAGTATGCAGATTGAAGAAATCTTTGTATGGGCTGAAGCAATCCCCTCGCCAATGGTATAAAAGGTTTGATCATTTCATGGTAGAGCATATGTATACTCATAGTCAATTTGACCATTGTGTGTATTATCGATGTCTCGATGATGGATCGTTTATTTACTTGCTCTTACATGTTGATGATATGTTAATTGCTTCAAAGAGACAGGTGGAGATTGATAATCTCAAAGATGAGCTTTCTAAAACATTTGAAATGAAAGACTTAGGCAATGCAAAGAAAATACTTGGAATGGAGATAGAGCGAGATCGAAAAAAAGGTACATGGTTGACTCAGTCTCAATATCTACGCAAGGTATTGTCAAGATTTAGTTTGAATGATTCAACCAAACCCGTTAGTACTCCACTTGCTCCTCATTTCAAGCTTAGTGCTTCCATGTGTCCAAGTTCTGACGATGACAAAAGGTATATAGAGAACATTCCTTATACAAATGATGTTGGTGCGTTGATGTATGCTATGGTGTGTACTCGACCTGATCTTTCACACGCAGCAAGCATGGTGAGTCGTTATATTCATAATCCTGGTAAAGAGCATTGGCAGGCTGTAAAATGGATTCTTAGGTACATTCTTGGCACTATTGATGTTGGTATTAAGTTTCAAAAACAAGAAATGTTTAATCTTGACAACCGTGTAGCTGGTTTTGTGGATTATGATTATGTTGGTTATTTGGATAAGCGACGATCTACTACGGGATATTTATTTACTATGGCTGGTGGACCTGTTTGTTGGCGTTCAACATTGCAGCCTACTGTTGCATTGTCTACCACTGAAGCAGAGTATATGGCAGTAACGGAAGCTTTTAAAGAAGCTATTTGGATGCATGGTTTGATCAATGACTTGGGAATTTTGCAGGGACATATAGATGCATTTTGTGATAGCCAGAGCGCTATTTGCTTGTCAAAAAATCAAGTCCATCATGCTCGTACAAAACACATTGATGTCCGTTTTCACTTTATTCGAGAAATTATTAGCAAAGGGGATATTCGTTTTCTAAAAATTGGAACTGCTGATAACCCTGTTGATATGTTGACAAAGGTGATCGCTCGTGAAAAGTTCTGCCATTGTTTGGATCTCATCAACGTCGGAAGGAAGGAGTAGTGTGTTGACGTGGTAACAACCAAATTCGCTATCAACTTGGAGATCTTATGACAAGGTGGAGATTGTTAAACACTGTCATAAGCCCTATTCTCTAGGACCAAGACCTATTCTCAAGGTTTTGCTAATATTTTTAGGCTAGTTAGTTTATCTTTAGGTTTAGTAGAAGGCTATATAATGCCATTCCTTTTGCTGTTGAAAAATCAAGTTTTTGAGTGCAATATTGTATGTCTTGAGTGAATTTGGTATTGTGAGTACATTTGTTCCGCTTTCGGCTCACAACACACAGTTTGTATAACTAACCAAATAATTGAAACGATTGGTCCTTATTTTATGATCCAATTATGAATTTGGTTATTCAATTTTAAGAGTTTTATTTCATCCAAGGATTCATGAAGCATTTGTTTTAGACTCAATGAGTCCTCAATGAGTCCTTCAATGTGAGATCCCACATTGGTTGAGGAGAAGAACGAAACACTTAAGGGTGTGAAAACTTCTCCCTAGCGGACACGTTTTAAAAACCTTGAGGGGAAGCTCGAAAGGGAAAGCCCAAAGAGGATAATATCTGCTAGCGGTGGGTCTGGGCCATTACAAATGGTATCAGAGCAAGTTCCCGGCAATGTGCCAGCGAAGAGGCTATTCCCCGAATAGGGTAGACACGAGGCGGTGTACGAGTAAGGATGCTGGGGCCTGAAGGGAGGTGGATTTGGTGAGGGTTCCACATCGATTGGAGAAAAGAATGAGTGCCAGCGAGGACGCTAGGCCCTGAAGAGGGTGGATTCTGAGATCCCACATCAATTGGAGAGAAGAATGAAAAAAAAATGTCGAGGAAAATCCTGAAAGAAAAAGCCCAAAGAGGATAATATCTGCTAGCGGTGGATTTTGGCCGTTACAAATGGTATCAGAGCCAGCAATGTGCTAGTGAGGAGACTGTTCCCCGAAGGGGGTGTACATGAGGCGGTGTGCCAGTAAGGACGCTGGGTCCCGAAGGGAGGTGGATTTATTGTGGGGGTCCCACATCGATTGGAGAAAAAAACAAGTGCCAGCGAGGACGCTGGGCCCTAAAGGTGGGTAGATTGTGAGATTCCACATCGGTTGAGGAGGAGAAAGAAAAAAAAAACGTTGAGGGAGATCCCGAAAGAGAAAGCCCAAAGAGGACAATATCTACTAGTGGTGGATTTGAGCCATTACAAATGGTATAAGAGCCAGACACCAAACAATGTGTTAGTGAGGAGGTTAATCCCTAAAGGGGACTGAGCACGAGACAGTGTGCTAGCAAGAACGCTAGGTCTTAAAGAGAGGTGGATTGCGGGAGAGGTCCCGTATTAAAAACCCTGAGGGAAAGCTCGAAACGGAAAGCCTAAAGAGGACAATATCGGCTAGCTGGGCTTGAGTCATTATCATGCAACTCAATCCTAATCTCTCTTACCATCTTTGACTTTGTTGTTTTGGAAACAGGCATGCGCTGAAGCACATGAAGGAAGGCAGTGCAATCATCAACACAACTTCAGTGACCGCATACAAAGGCCACCTTCAACTGTTGGACTATGCATCCACCAAAGGCGCCATTGTTTCCTTCACTAGAGCTCTGGCTCTTCAGCTTGCAAGTAAAGGGATTCGAGTCAACGGTGTCGCCCCCGGGCCGATATGGACGCCATTGATCCCGGCATCATTCGATAATGAAGATATCGAAAGCTTTGGGAATGATGTTCTGATGAAACGAGCCGGTCAGCCGATCGAGGTTGCTCCATCCTATGTGTTCTTAGCTTGCAACCACTGTTCTTCATACTTCACTGGCCAAATCCTCCATCCCAATGGTAACCTTCCATACTTGATTTTTAATTATGATGATAACTTCAGTTTTTGATATGATTTTTGTTTGAATTTGTATGCAGGTGGTACACTTGTGAATGGGTAACGTCCCTAATTTTCTTACCTAAATTACAGACGTCACTATATGTATGTCTTTAATAACATATACAAACATTTAAATAAAAAGTTTCAAATGAAACCATGAATTTGTACGATTAGATTAAAACAAGAAATAGAAATAACGTCGTCAAAATAAAACCTTATCATAATGTTTGAATACGAAAATAAAAAGCCACCTATAAAACTACTAACTTAAAACAATGCACTCTATTGTTCCATATTAACTTTCATGGTCATTCTAGCCTTCATCGTCATTCGTGCAAGGGGCGCTTTACCTTTAACTGGATTATAAGAGTAGCACATGACTTGAATATTTTAAGAAAAACACACATGCATGATGAGACCTATTCTTTAAAACCGTAGCATGGTTTTGAGCTCTTTCCAGTTCCAGGCAAGGTTGGATGTGTGGTACTTCCCTACACACGGCTCATGCACACGCATATGGACCCACCGGATAGGCTTGTATATGTACCCTTGGGTCTGACTTGCTCAGGCACAACGCCCTAACGGGTCGTTGAATGCAACAGAAAGAAAAAGGTCTGCATGATATCATGACGAACATAAATATTGAAGGTATGCATCCGTACTAACATAATATAACGGAGAAGTATCCCGATGCACGTGACAAACATAAATGCATGAGGTCCTAATGGTTTAAAAATCATAACATAATATCAAAATCATTTTCTTTTTCCTTTCATCCATGACATAGTACATATATGCGACATGTATATTGTAACGTCCCTAAATTTTTACCTACTACTCAAAGTCGGTACTAACGACTACTACTTAGCTCATATGCAAAATATTCTCTTTAAAACAACATCATAAATAGCATAAATTTCGAACTAATTTAAACCTTCTTCAACTTTAAAAACACTGTCATGGTCTTACGTGTTCTAACACATAACACTGGAAACAATTGAAAACAAATACAAAATAAATGAAATAAACTAAAAGTAATGTAGACAATCTATACTAACCTAAGACTAGGAATTTAAACATGCAACTACCCTATGCATGTGTCATGGTCTCTACTTGCGATGTCGTCGTCATCCGTACATGGACACCTTGCCTTTACCTGAAAAATGATGTGACACGGCCTGAATATTTCGAAGTGGCTCGCACGCCCCTGGACCCTCTCTGGTCAAGCTAGCTGTCTGTAGCGAATTTCGGAGGTCAACGAAACCCCTGGCGTCATGCTCTCCATGATCACCTTACTCATCATATTGTGCTCGTCTACACTCATCTTCTCTAGGGGAAGTATCCCTATGCTTATGTACACACAACAGCCATGAGGTCCCTCTAGTTCTCATCTTATCTTCTCTTCTAACACAACCCTCGTCTCATTTTTTTTTTTTTGTTACGTTAAGTAACACATCGTTAGATATTTATTTTAATATCATATTCATGCTCTTAGGGTTGTGTCCTAGGTCGATCTATCGGCATGATGCAATATGGAACTCATCATCATATAGCATGCTTAAAAATGAAAAACATCAACATATTAAGATAAGCGTCATGCAATCATCATACTCATCATAAGGTCACTAAGTGCATCAAGCATATTAAGTATGTCATACAATGAAATATATAATTACGTACTTCATCATGCATCATAGTTCAAACATCATAACTCATACATCATCATACAATACAGCTCATACATTGTAAACACAAATATTGCATGCATCAATATACATTATCTCAAACAATTCTAAATCGTAACTCATACAATTTCTAGTCTATCTTATAGTAAAGCCACTTACTTGGTTGGCTTTAGTCGGAGTACTCCCTAATTTAATTAACGTAAACTTCCGTTCCTTGGAGTTGCTCCAAACATTGTCAGAGTTCGTTTCTTATCACAAGATTCGTCACCTTTCATAAGTATTTCACAATTAAATTAACAATCCAAATAATAATGTGAAATACAACTATAAAGCGGCCTAGATTACCTTAATTGGGACCGAAAATAGATTTGGGAGGGTCGAAATGGTAGAAATTGGGCTAGAAATAGAAAACTAAGCGGGATAAGCTGTGGAAGCCGTCAGAAGTTGAACCGAGTTGAGCCAAGAGTAGGCCACGTCATGCAGATGGCATCAGGTCGAGGCATTGCAGACTGAGCTATTGGTCGAGATAGGTTTGGGCCTCGGGTTATTGGGCTGCTGCAGATGTGTGCTACTGGGTCGAGGTGGAACTTGGACCTTGGGTTTGCATGCTGACCAGCAGTTCGGGTTGTAGAGGCAGTCGCGGGTCCCAATTGTGGGTTGGACTGGTGTTCATGGGTTTTGGGTCACTGTAGGTTGGGTTGGCCAAAGACGCGGGTCTTGTGTTGGGGAAAATGATATAGAAAGAGATAGGAAAAGATAAAATAGATCAAAGCTGCCATGCTTTATTATTGTTTTCTCACTCTATTGCTTACTTGCTTACTCTCTTACTTAGAGTTACACAATTCTAATATTTATACGCTTATACACTAAGTAGTAAATTATGAAAATCCTAGATAAATTTAAATCTACTAACAATATCCTAAAATATTGGTAATTTTAATACTTTGAGTTATATCTCAGTTTTGAATACTTTGAATCATATCTCAACACTCCCCCTTGATTCAAAGTTGTGGAGGTCAAGTGATCGTTGGAATTAGCAGAACTTTTTTTTGGCAAAACCTTAGTAAGTATGCTTGCTTTAATCCGTATAATGTCTGTCTCAACTTGTATACCTTTGTTTCTTTGTCTTTCTTTATGAATCCCTCTAGTTATGATACATAGACCTATTCTTGTAAACCTCCATTAAGAAATGCTGACTTAATATCAAAATTGATAAACCGGCCACTACAATTCTTGTTGTTACGTATACCCTTTTGCTATAAGCCGAGCCTTATGCTTTTGTATGCTTCCATCTATTGCAAATTTTGTCTTAAACATCCATTTCAAATTGATTGCATTTTTTTTCGTTTGGTAAGTCCACCATCTCTCATGTTCCATTTCTATCAATGGACTACATCTCTTCTACCATGATTTTCTCAATGGACTGCACCTCTTCTACCATGGCTTTTTTCCACTCTTCTTTTTCAGTTGTTTCTTCATAACTCATAGGGTCTAAAACAGTAAAAGCAAATTGACTTGATGCAAATATAAAGATTTATACTTCTTTGGAGGTGTCTCATCCGAAAATTCTTCGAGAGAAGAGTTGCTATTTAGTGATGCTAAAGGATGAATTTGATAGATTTTGTGTTGTAGTGGAGGCACTAGGAGATGTACTGGAGTTGACTCTTGTCTCTTCATGTGGAGAAACTTTAACTATAATCTTGTTTGTATCCTTATCTAATAGTTTTGTCTTACCATGATTGGTTTCGACTTTCACTGTGCCTTTTTCCTCAACTTGCATCTCTTTTGTATTTCCAAGTTCAACCTTAATTTTTTGCGTCTCATCAAGCTCTTTGAATAAGGATTTGGTGCCTGCATATGGTTCGAGCATCCGCTATCAACAAACCATAAGTCACCTTTTTTTGGATTAGTATTAATACACGCCATAAAAAGCTTTTCTTCTTCTTCTTCATTTTCTGCTGGAAAATTCATTTGTTAATTTTTATATCAATAATCAGCTTTCGTGTGCCCATACCTTCTGCAATGGTAACATTGTATGACCTTCCTTATATTACTTTGTTCGTTGAATTGCATTTGTCCATCATTTCTCCATCTACCCTTGTTATCACGACCACCATTGAAGCTGTGAAATCCTCCTCTTCCACGACTTCTACCTGCTAAATGAATATTTTCTCTTTCGTTATCTTCGTTGTTTGCTGTCTCCTTCACTTGTAGTGCCTTTTCTTCATTCCTATCGGATGATCTATTGATTCTTGACTCATGAGCTTGAAGCGAGCCCATCAGTTCTTCAACAGAGAGTATTGATAGATCCTTAGCTTCTTCTATGGCAGCTACCACATGGTCAAACATTTGAGTTAAGCTTCTCAACACCTTTGCAACAATTGTTTCGTCTGAAATTTTCTCTCTATAGGTACACATCTGACTAACTATTTTCATTGCTCTTGACAAAAAGTCATCAATTGATTCGTCATTTGTCATGAGCAGAGTTTCAAAATCACGTCTTAGAGATTGCAATTTCATTGTTATGACATTTGAATCTCCCTGAAACTCCTTATGTAGAATTGACCATGCTTACTTTGATGTGGTTGCTGCTACAATTCGTGAAAAAATAATCTCATGAATTGCTTGCTGAATAATGAACAGAGCGTTAGCATCATTTTTCTTGGTTTCTCTTAGTCTCTTCTTTTCTTCTATTGTGGGTTCTAATACATCAACAAACCAGTGCTCTATCAAGTCCCATAGCTCCTGCGATCTGAGCAAGGTCTTCATCTTGATGCTCCACCACTCATATTTCTCACCATTAAAAATTGGTAACAGCTGTGCAAAGGAAGAAAAACCAACTACTACCATTTTTGTTTTGCGAAAAAAAATATAATCACTCACTCTTGTGTTGACAAGAACTTTGGCTCTGATACCAAATTTGTTGGGGAAAATGATATTGAAAGAGAGAAAAAAAGATAAAATAGATAAAAGGTGCAGCTTTATTATTGATTTCTCACTCTATTGCTTACTACGTTAGAGTTACACAATTCCAATATTTATTGGCTTATACACTAACTAGAAATAGTAAATTATGGAATCCTATATCAATTCAAATCTACTAAGAATATGCTAAAATCTTGTTACCTTTCTTCTTCACCCACTTTCTGTGCATTTTTTCGGTGAACCTTCTTTCTCCTTCCCGTGATGTTTCTGACACTGATTTCAGTCCTTTTTCTCCCTTTTCCTCTTGGCTTGCCTCTCCTTTTCTCTTCCTCGAAGTCTTGTGGCTTAAAAACACCTAAGAACTATAGATCTAGGAAAACTTAGAAAACCCAAATTTCTGCTTCGTTTACCGACGAGAATATGTAAGGAAAAGGGCACAAAACTTAACCTAAGATGATGTGCAATCATCGAGGATCCTCCTCGTGGTGTTAACCAAGCTTTTCAATGTCGGTTATGGCAATTTTGGGCAGTGGGCTTAGTTTCAGACTCTCACCCGAGTTTTCTTCGATCCACCCTCTCTCTCTGGTTCTCGTTCTATCCTTCTTTGCAGGTGATCTAGAATGTCGAGCAGTTGCCTGAGGATTGTTTGGCTGAAGAATGGGCGTTTGGAGAGGGTCGTGGAGCGTGTTTTCGCGTGGGTCAGGGAAATTCTAATTAATGTGTTTTTTTTTTCTAATCGTTACATTGTATACCCCTGAAAAGAACTTTCGTCCTCGAAACTCTCAAACTCTTGTACTAACTCGGTGTATTTTTTTCTTATTTTGTCCTCACACTCCCACGTGGCCTCCTCGATGTGGTGGTTTCGCCACAACACCTTAATGAATGCAATGTCCCTGTTGCGTAACGCTTTCACTTCCCGAGCTAAGATTTTTATTGGTTTTTCCTCGTAACTCAAATCTTCGTTGAGTTGGAGAGGTTCGTAATCTATTACATGGATAGGGTTCGTCATGTATTTTCTTAGGATCATCACGTGAAATACATCATGTACTCCTAAGAGGAAGAGAGGTAGGGCTAACTTATATGCTACTGAACCGATTCGATCGAGAATCTCGAATGGTCTGATGAATTTGGGACTTAACTTGCCCTTAGTCCAAAGCTGAAGACACCTTTCATGGGTGCTACATTTAGGAATACTAAATTTCCTATCTCAAACTCTAAGTTTCTATGCCTTACACCAACGTAGCTTTTCTGTTTACTTTGAATGGTACGCATCCTCGCTCGGATTTTCTAGATAGCCTCATTGGTGACTCACACCAGCTCGGGTCCTATTAACTCTCTTTCACCTGCCTCGTCCAAACATACCAGGGACCTGCACCGTTTCCCATACAGGGCTTCAAATGATGTCATTTCAATAGTGGCTTGGAATCTATTATTATACGAGAATTCCATTAAGTGAAGCTTGGAATCCCAACTTCCCTTAAAGTCTAATATACAAGCGTGTAGCATGTCCTCTAGGATTTGGTTTAGGCATTCTATTTGTCCATCTGGTTGAGGGTGGAAGGTAGTACTAAAGTTGAGGCGAGTACCCAACGCTTTTTGAAATTCGCGCCAAAACGCAGACGTAAAGTGTTGGTCTCAATCCGACATTATCGACACTGGAACTTCATGTAGTCTTACTATTTCTTTCATATGCAGTTGAGCCCAATTGTCAACTGTATATGTTACTTTCCTAGGTAGAAAGTGCGCCGACCTGGTCAATCTATTGACAATTACCCAGATCACTGTATAGCTTTTCAGTGTTGTGGGTAGTCCTTCCACTCTGGAATACTTAGGGATTGTAACATCCTCGTTGTCTTTTGTTTAGGAGCTTTCACTTGTTGACAAACTAAGCACTTGCTCACAAACTCGACGACGTCTCTCTTCATGCTCCTCCACCAAAAGTTTTGTTTTAAATTTTGGTACATCTTAGTACCACCTGGATGCATGAAAAATGTTGAGTTGTGTGCCTTTTTTAATATCTCTTTTCTTAACTCTACTATTGTCGGGACACATCGGCATCCCTGACGCAATAATCCTTCATTTCAGGATTTTGAGAATTCGTCTATTGGACGGCTAGTTGGTTTAGTATTTTTTTGTAGGTTAGGGTCCTCTCACTGGGAGTCAATTATTATGTTCCTAAGTGTGGGTTGTACTATGAGTCAGGCCAGCTGTGTTATGACTCCCTCAGTCACTACATCTATGTTGGCTAGCTTGAAATCTTTTTGTACCCTTACTTCCCTCATAATGAGGGTAGAAGAGTAGGTTGTCTTTCTACTCAGGGCATATGCGACCATATTTGCTTTTCCAGTGTGGTACTGGATATCTACATCGTAGTCCTTCACCAATTCTAACCACCTTCTTTGCCTCATGTTTAACTTTTTCTGGGTGAAGAAATATTTCAAACTCTTCTAGTGGGTGAAAATTTGGGTTTTCTCTCCATATAGGTAGCGTCACCAAATTTTTAGCACGAACATTACGGCAGCCAACTCTAGGTCGTGGGTAGGGTAGTTCTTTTCGTATTCTTTTAGTTGACGAAACGCATATGCAACGACCTTGTTGTGTTATATTAACACACGTTCGAGTCCCTTCTTGGACGCATCATTATAGATCACGTACCCTTATGAACTCTCAGGTGCCGTGAGTAATGGCACTCTTGAGATAGTTCGTATGTCATGGTGAATTTTTAGACTTCTAGAAAAAAGGTTCGGTCTATACTTAAATGACTTGTCACTCTAACCACAAAACCCTAGACTTATCATTACACTGGATCATGAAAACTAAATGAGTGTGCATACAACTATTATCTAACATCATCATACATAATTCATGCAAAATAAACATACATTCTCAACCGGGAAATAAGATCCATCAAGCTCTCGAAGCGCAGAGTTCACAAATTTCTCTCCTCCTTTCAGCATGAATTAAACACATACATATATATAGCGGAAACTTAAAACATAATTGAACACTCAGACAATACACATAATTCTTCACACATTACATCCATATTCATATTAATTAACTTACCTAAATTCGTTCAAGGAAAGCTACACCTAAGGCAAATAGACTAGTATGCATGCAATCCAAGCGAATCCTACAAGTATTTCTTCCTAGATACCGAGTGGTGACTTACCTGGTTGATGTGTGCCCTTACGTTTAGCATTTCTATGCAAATAAGGTGTCCAAAAATACTGATTTTTCTCACTTAGATCCTAATTTACATAAAAATGAGGTTAGAATTGAAATTAGAGAGAAAATCGGGCAAAAAGAAGTCAAACGGAGTAAAACAGGCCTTGCACGTGCCTGTTATATCGGTATGGCAACCCTAGAGGGGGGTGAATAGGGTTTTAACGATAAAAGTGATTAAACATGATTAATTTTTCTGATGATGAAACTTTTTACAAATAAGTAGAAGATGATAATTACTAAAACAAAATAATTCAAGACAAAACAATAATCAAGGAGAACATGCAATAAATCACAATAATAATTTTGAAATTAAATAGGAAAGAGTTAGAAAAGATGAAACCGTAGTTTTATAGTGGTTCGGTCAAACTCAACCTACTCCACTCCCAAGCTACTCTACTCCCAAGCTACTTTACTCTCCAAGTGCCTCTTGGGAATTTGAATAAACAACTTTCTCGACTCTTTCCATAGATCAGAGCCAAACCGCTACACCACTCTTTTTACGAGTTCAAGAACAAACTCAATCATTTCCACGACGCAGGATTAAATCGGTACAAGCACTCACAATTATTCTCTCACAATATAAAAAAAAAAAAAAAAAAAAAAAAAAAAAAAAAAAAAAAAAAAAAAAAAAAAAAAAAAAAAAAAAAAAAAAAAAAA